CAGCCATCGTTGTTTGGCGGGCCCAGGCTGGATTCAAACCTGCCACCTTAGGTGTATGTGGCTGGCACCTTAGCCACTTGAGCCACAGGCACCGAGCCAACCTAATACAATTTTTAAATGAAGCATGCCGTTATAAGGTTAACAGCTATGTGTTTTACATGAGATCAATTTTTAGTGAATTCTAGACATTTATTGAAAGTTATGCTTATTGATAGCAAATTATCTTCTATATTCTTAATTTTTAGTATATGATTTTAACTAAATCTGTTTCCTATGTTTAAAAAGTTATAATCTTTCTTGTTTCTGTTTTTTTTGTATGGTTGTCTTCCATAGTATGAAATTAATCTTTTGGAGCTGATCCAGAGAAGAAGAACAGTAAGTAGATGATTTTCTAGATGTTTGGAAAAATACATCTGCTAATAGCATTAAGCAGTGTCTATAGCTAGAACTTGTGTTTGGGAGACAGTATTGTCGATAAACTGAATGGTTATGTATCCATAATGGATGTTTGCAGTTACTCGCCTTCTTTATCAGTACTGTGAACTGCTTAAGTAGAAATGCAGCTTTGGAGAAATGTGACTAAACTGAGGCTCTGTTTTCCTCTTAGCGGATTGGATATTCATTTAAGAAGGATGAGATTGAGAAATCTATTGTACACCGGGTACAGGCTATCTTCCGACGTGCTTCAGCAAAGTGGAAAGTAAGTGATCTTGAAGATATGTATTATATAATACGTGTTATGAGTTAGATATTCAAATGCATTTTTTATATTCTTAGGGTTTCTCAATTTAAATTAATTAATTTAATTGATTGATTGAGAGATAGGGTCTTGCTGTGTTCCCTGGTCTAGAGTGTAGTGGCATCATCATAGCTGAATGAAACTCAAACTTTTGGGCTCAAGTAATTCTCCTGCGTAGCTTCTGGAATAGCTGGGACTACAGATATGTTCCACAGTGCTTGGCTTATTTTTGTATGGAGTGAGAAATAGAGGTCTTACTCTTGCTCAGGCTGATCTTGAACTCCTGACTTCAAGCTGTCCTCCTGCCTCAGCTTCCTACAGTGCTAGGATTATAGGTATGAGCCACTTTCCCAGCCCTCAATACTTATTTTAATGATGGTATCATTGCTCAAAACAGTTTTTGAGCCATTTAACAAACTGGTAAGAAAATTGATCTCATTACCTTATAGCTACTCTGTAAAGATAGTGCTAAAAACAGTATGTTTGATACATCACTTAGGATCGGAAAACTGTCTGGGAGATATTTGGATATATTTCTAAGTAAAGTACATCAAAGACTTAGAGGTGGTAGATAAATAGGTAGGGACAATAACTCAGTAACTTGATTTTCTTCAAAATTTGACTTTGGGACTGACTATGATAGGGGAAGTACTTGGCTTCCTGGGAATGAGAAATTTTGTGTTGCTGTCCCTGATTGAGACTACTTACATTCTGCATTGAACAAATTGAATAAACAACAAATTTTATCTTAGAATGTTGGTGGAGGGGATTGGAGGGAAAGATTGAATCATGATGGTTAAGAGATGTAAGAACCACATAGACTAAGGCATGTGGTTAACACATGGGAACTTCTGAACTCTGACTCTGTTTTTAACAAAATTAATGCAAAGTCGTCTTATTTAAATACAAAGGTCAAATTGAGGTAGCAGCTTACTATATTGCTTTTCTTGCAGGACGATGTTCAACTTTGGCTATCCTATGTAGTTTTTTGTAAGAAATGGGTAAGTAAAGCTATCTTTGTCTTGCTCCTCCTTCTCTATTTTCTGTTGGTCTGGCTTTTGAACTTCTTACTTGATTACTGAACTCCATGTTTTCTCCAAAGGCGCAGGATTAACAAATGGGGAAAGAGCCCATGAAGGGCTCAGTGTAATATTTGTGTATCTGAGTAACTAAATGACTTCTGTCAGATCAAAAGAAAATAATTTTTATATGTATTTGTTCGGTAAAGTTGAAATTTTTTGAAAAGATATTTAGGAGTAGTTTTAGAGAGAAGAAAACCGTGAGTGTGTTTGTAGTTGTTGATACGTTCCTAGCAATAGTAGATCTTGCCCTACTGGATTTTATAATCGGTGAGGGTACATTACAATACATACTCCTTAGAGAGTAATAGCAATGATTTCTCTATGCCGGAAGTAGAAATATTTTTTCCTCTTTTACAGGCTGCCAAAACTCAACTTAGCAAGATATTCTCGGCCATGTTGGCCATTCATTCCAACAAGCCAGGTATGGTGAAAGCCTTGTTAGTTCTTTTTCTACATTTATTTAGACTCAAGCTGTTTGGGACTTTTTCTTGATAAATCTAAGAGAAATTATTTTGAGGATTTGAGCTAAGGCAGTTGGCCTCAGTGGTTTTTGTTCCTAAATACTTGTCTCTTAATTTATCCCTGCCTACTGTGTACATTAATTACTGTGCTAATTTGTTGTATCTGCACACAAGAAGGACTATTCTTTAGTTGATGGTAAAAGAAAGTGTTGGGTCCTTTGAGGGATATCTTATTTGGAGGCAGTCAAATCTGAGGGATTTTAAAACTAAAGGGGAAAATGTTACAGATTTCAGAAGAGTGCTGGCACAGATAGATACTGCTGATTTGTAAGAGCAAGTCTTCTCTCTGGTGAATGATGTATGAATGGTGTGCTTTATAGTGGAGGTACTTTAGTACCTATTCTCAGGGTATTAGGCTTAACCAGATATTTTATACTGTGCAAGACTCTAATAGGCTTCCTTTGGTGCCAGTTACTCAGAATAATACAGCAGTACAGCATTAGGTGTGTTTCTTCAGCAGAGTGCTCTTAGCAGGTTGGAGGTCAGTCTCTGATTCATAAAATGATGCTCAGGTATGAGGGGATGACATCATATGACTGGATGACATCACATGAGTGGGTAGTGGAGCTCCTCTGACTTAGAAGACCTATGGATAAGCATGGCTGGGCATGGTTTCTTTTCTTTTTTTTTTTTTT